AGAGAGAGAATGGCAGGAATCGGGGCATGAGGTTGAGTGAAGGATCTTGGAGAGGAAATCCAGCTTTGTAAGCCAGCCTTGTTGCTGGGTCATGAAGCAGATGTTGCAGACTGCCAGAAATAGTGCAAATTGAGTCTACTTTTAGGGTTAGGGTTAGTGCTAGGGAATCATGGGAATTGTTGTTTTTTCCTGAGACATTGAGCCTTCTCTGTCAGAGAGCTCTGGTGCCACAATAAAATACAGTTCCCATGATTTCCTAACCCTAACCCTTAAAGTGGACTCAATTTGCACTATTTCTGGTAGTCTGCAAAGGCCCTAGGTCTCTGAAGTGAGAGTCCGCACTTTTTGCTGGGGGCAACTGGCTTATTGCAGGTTGTATGTAAATCGCTTAGCCTGAAGAGTGCTGAGTTGAGTCTGAAGCAGGAAAGAAATGCAGCTGCTGTTGCAATTGCAGAAGAATGGGGAAGGTGAAATGGGAGGGAAGAGGAGTGTTGTGTGCAGCCTGATGGAGCTGGTGCTGAAGGCTGAAAGTCACCTGGAGCATCCCAGTCCTCCTCACCAACTATACATCCCTATTCTCAATGCCAGGCTTCAGCCTTCCGACCACTGGTTGGTTATTTGTTTCTTCCCCCGATTGCATCTGCAGCCCCTCTTTCTTCCATATGTGGTTCTTCTCCTCCAGAGCTCCCCCCCCACTCCCACTTTATCCTCACAACAACCCTGTGAAGTAGGTCAGGATGAGGAAGAGTGACAGGTCCTAGGTCACCCAGCGTGTTTCGGGGGTTTAGTAGAGATTTGGATTGGGATCTCAGGTCTAGCACTTGAACCGTTCAATCATAGTTGCTTTTCTAAGAGCACGTATAGGAGCACTTCTGATCTGCTCCGTAAGTCAACACATCCAGAGCTGGTTTGTTGTTAACTGCCTTCAGGTTGATCCCGACTCATGGCAACCCTGGGGCTGAGACATCTCCAAGACTCCCCGTTCTCCACTCTTCTGCTTAATTCCTGTAAATTCATACCCATGACCTATCCATCTAGCATGAGGTCTTCCTCTCTTTCTGTTTCCTTCCACCTTTCCTAGCGTTGTCTTTTCTAATGAGTCATGTCTTCTCATGATGTGGCCAAAGTACGACCAACCGACCGCCTCAACTTGATCATCTTGGCTTCCAGAAAGATTTCAGGCTTGATCTCTTCAAGGACCCATTTGTTTGTTTTTTAAGACCTCACATTTAAAGAAAAGGGCTTCCAGGGAGATGCAAAGAGCAGAAGCAGCAATGACAGGAAGTTGAGTTGCTGGGTGATGCTCCAGCTGCAAGAGTGGCAGAAGGCAAGAGGCACCTAAGGGAGTGTGAAATCATGAATCCCAGCATCCCCAGAACCCCAGAATAAGGTGGTTGGGGGCTTAAGTCTCCCTGAGACTAAGCTGGTGAGCTGAGCCCTCCAAAATCATCAGGCAGAATTGGATCACCAAGCCCCCCCCCCATGCAATTAAAACCCCTTAGAAATTATCTATTAGAAGTGTACTAAAGGATCATTATTTTGGTATTGCTGTCATGGTGCTCAGAGGTTGGATGATGACGATGTTGATTGTTTTAAATGCAAATGTGTTGTGTTTTCATTGTTTTGCAAAAATATATCTGAAAGTAGTCAGAATTGAGAACAAACCTGCCCACCAATGTTGACACACACACAACTTAAAAACAGTGCTGGGGCATGAAATCATGGTTTGGTGGCAGCTTCTCAACCACTACTGCATCTGGCTCCAGTTTTATGCAATCTCTTGCTTTCCTCTGCAGAATTATGTCCCCACTGTGTTTGAAAACTACACTGCCAGCTTTGAGATCGACAAGCAGCGCATTGAACTCAACATGTGGGATACATCGGGTGAGTGCAGAAAAAGGGGGGGAAGGCTTACACCGGGGAGGACCTGGCTTGTGTTTCTGTTCTGTGTGTATATG